ATGTGTCTGGCAAACTCAAAAACCAATCCATCTGTGAGCTTTCAGTATGCAGCTATAATCACTCAACACGTCCATGTGTCCGGCAATCTCCTTCATCACTCAACCTGTGAGGCTTCCGTAAGCTATCCTCACTCAACTCATCCATGCGTCACGCGTCTTTGGTAGCGTATACTATGGGGGCTATATTTGGGGTGGCGAGTTTTACAGCGCTTTGCCAACAGCGCCAACCCACTTAAGTCTAGAATGGGGGGGTGTACTCATAGTCGTGCATGCCGTAGTCGTTAGACCATTGACCTCGCATCCCTACAAAGCCGGGACGGAGCACGCCGGGTTCTCACCGGACCAGGCTCTCACATCACCAAGCGCGAAGCGCCGTGAGATATTCGGCGAGTCGCATGAAGGGTGCGCTGCATCCTGCTAAGGGTGTTCGGCATCTTGTGCTTACTTCCTTGCGTACGGATGACAGCTGCGTATGAATTAATTTATTTTCTGGTGCTTTCACTTCCAGAGACAGTTGTAAGCACTGTGTAACTGCCTCGAGGGTGCTTGACCATTTTAACACAACGTGGTGCGATCATCCCCCTTGCGCGGAGTGAGGGTTCTCCACCCCGCACAACATGATCTACTCGACCACCATTATGGTTACCGCCAAAAAAAAAACCGGAGGTAAAAAAAAAAAACGGTAACCTGGTTGCCGAGTTCACGAAGTGAATTGGCTTGTTTTACAACGTCGTTGCCAAGCGACGAAAACCCAACCCCGATGGCAAACACCGGGGGAGAGGGGGGGAGGTCGAGGATTAAGTCCCAGTCTCGCTTGTGCTTGTCTACTACTGCCGTAAATCCACGAGTAACCTTGAGCTCGCAAGTAAAAAGCAAACATTGCAGCACTCTGCTCCAAGCGTCCACTTTGCATCCCTTCATTCACAAGGACAGGCTTACTTCGCCCCAACCGTCTTCGCCGTCACGCTCACGAACCTGCTTCCCTCTGCCTTGTCAAGAAAAATCGCCACATCAAAGAGCTACTCAGGACCGGACCGGTTCAATAGAATACGCCGCACCGTGGCAAAGCGGCCACCCATAACCCTGCACCGCGCGAAGTCACCAAGCTCCACCACTCCTCCTACCACCACTGTACCGCTAGTTGCACAACAGCGCTGCCGCCCGTTCAACGTACAACAAACCTGTTCCAGGGTCCGCTGCCAAGCCCCAGCCCCGCTCCCAGCCCCCGCACCGTCCGCCTTCTCTTCGCCGCACCCCGGCGCCGCGCCCCCCGACGGCTCCTCTCCGCTCGGGTCATCGGAAGAGGGCCCAGAGCCAACACCAGACGCCCCTGCCATCCCGGGGGGGGTAGCAGCGGCAGCTGCAACAGCGGGGAACATGCCGTGAGAAGCCAGGATTTCTTGCGCTGTGGGGAGCTTGAACCGCGACGGCCGCCCTGTATTTACCTCCATGAACCACGCCTCTTCAAACAACGGCGTGTCACCGTCAGCATCGTCGTCATCGGCTTTGTTGGTGGCGTTGGTGGCGTTGCCGCTTGACCCGTTGCGTGCTTCTCGTCGTCGTGCCGACGCCAGCATGTCCAAGAGAGGCACGACGTCGCGCTCGTGAGAAGCGTTGAACCAGAGCACGCGCCGGCATCGTCTCTTCTGCCGTCTGAGCTCAAGTTGTGGCGGTGGGGGGGGTGGCGATGACCGTGGGATGTCGCGCGGTGTCACGGCTACCGCCACGGCCGCCCGGCTCGAAGCGACCTCATCGCCCTTTGCTCTTGACGCAGCCGCCGTCGCCGTCTTGCGTGGTCGAGGGCGAACGAAGCAAAGTCACGGCAGAAAATACGGAATCCGTGAGAAGGTGGCGGGAAGACCGGAGGGGCCGGGGCGGGATGGGATTTGCTGTCAGGCAAAGACCAAATATGAGCGCGAGCGCGGTGGAACGATGCCGTGTCTTAGGAAAAAAGGTTTGACACCCCAAATGACTGTTTTTCGTAAATCCTCCTCCGGTCGTGGCTCGTCATCACTCACATTCGGCGCTTCCCCTCCCCCCCCAAAAAATGCCCCACCAGCCTCCATCTGCACCTACAAACACATGCTCACCTTTTCGACGAACCATCCCAGGCAAGCGCGCATGCTCTGTTCCGTGTGCGCCCCGTCCAGGTGTATCGTCACCGACGGGAAGGCGGGGGGTCGAAACACCTATGTACATGCGTGACACAGTCGTTCACCGCAAAGAAAAGCATGTGGAAGATTGAAGGAGGTGCGGAGGGATCCATAGCACGGGAAAAGTGAGACTACTGATACACAGCAAGTCGCGTGTTACATGCGGTAATTTCGTAGGCCATGCTACGACAATTTTCAGAACGTGAGCCACCAACCAGTCTTCCCAACAGCAGTGTCCGGCATTCCGCGCAACCTCTCGATCGATCGTTGGGGTTATCCTAAAAAAGTTACGCTGAGCAAACTCTCTGTGGACCTTACGAACACACCAAAAAAAGCGAAACCACCTCACGAACTCGCATCAACAAAACGAAGCCGCGTGTAGAGAACAACTCTTCCACGCAAAAACGCCGTCCCAGCGTACGCTCCGCAGGAAACTGTTGGAGGTCAGCTAAGCCATTTCAAAGTGATGACGCCATCCCATTCGCAACCAGACACAAAGCAGGGAAAGGAGCTCACAAACATGCACACGTCCACAAGCCCATCTGATGCTCCCCTGAAACTACAAGATCAACCCTCATGTTTTCTCACACCTGACAGCGTCCCGGCCAAACGCAGCACGACAGTCCTCGGTGCACCTCTGCCGATGCCCAGAACGCCTCGGTTTCGCGAATTTTCTCCGGAGGCGGAGCCTGATCTCCTGCATGTTGCTGCTGCTGCTGCTGGCGATGAGCCTCGATCCAGACGTCGCACAAGCGCAGGGCTAGAGCGGCGTTGACCCGCTGGTGGTCACCGGCCAGGCCGATCTCGTAGGCGCGGCCGCACGGGTCGCGAGCGGGGAGCGGCTTGACCACCTCAAGCTCGCTGCAGCCGGCTGCTGCAGCGCACTACATATGGCCGTTCGTCCGTGGTTGTTATCAGTGATGATGGGTGGGACGACCACGCCCCGACTAACGGCGCTGCGACAGAGTACCCATACGCATATCACCGGAAATGATCGCTTGTAGACGCAAAAGTGGCGACTAGTTCAGTTTATTGGTGCATCAAGCAATACACACGACTACCAGTACGTATCCGGCGAAGCGCTACACGAGGCGAAATAGAATGGAAAACGGTGTATCGGCCCTGGTCGTGACAATGCAAAACGCTACTGGTACTTGAGGGATATGCAAGAAGAAAAGTGCGTGATTGTTACGCTTTTGAAGTCTGTTTGTTCTTTTGGAGTACAGGAGAGATGGCAACATCGTGCGCATGGGGACAAATTCCACGATGCAGTGTACACTTTCCCCCATAGGCACAAAATCTGCTAAGCTTGATGCTTCTCCATGTGTTTGATGCTGGAAGAATAAGACCTGCGAACGAGCTACTGAAGATCGGCAAACACCCGTGCACAGTCGTCCGTACGTGCAAGACGCACACGGTCTGGGTTCAAATGAAAAAACAGGATCTATCTACTTTCGGGCTTGCCTCGCGAAGCACCGACATGCCACCCCTGGGTTGCTCCACCGCCATGGCGCGGCAGCCCTCCTTGAAAATGCCACCCTTTTCCCAGGCGATTTTGTCCAGTGTATCACCGAGGACCTGTTTCCCGTTTGGGTATATTTAGGCGGAGACAAGGAAAGAGAAACAGCAAGAGGGGGAAGAGGAAACGGGGAAGGCGGCGGGATTCGGGCAGGTGAAGGTACGACTGGAGTAAGACTAGCACCAATGGCACAACATTGCAATAACCGTAGCAGCAGCAGCAGCAGCAGCAGCAGCAGCGGCAGCAGCGGCAAGAGATATAACGCAAGCACACCAGATACTCTAATGGCCTGCACGATGTCGATAAATGGTACCACTTTTGACGACTCCCAAGACAAGATGCACCAACTCCACCAGCGTACACACCCTCAGAGACAAAACACCTACCTGTGTGTGGTCCAGGTCGAGCATAGCCACCCCGCAAGCCACCGGCGAGGGCACGACGTTGGTGGCGTCAAACCTCCCGCCCATGCCCACCTCCAGCACGCAAACGTCCACTCCCTCCTGCACGAAGCACCAGAGCCCCACCAGGGTCAACAGATGGAAGTACGTCGGCATCTCCGGCGCGGTCGTCCCCTCCTCCTCGGGGGCGGTCGGCCCTTGCTTCGCCTGGCTTGGCCCTTCGGAAGCAGCGGCGGTAATACCGGTGGTGCCGGTGGCGGCGACGGCGGCGGCCGTTGCGTCGTCGGTGTTGGTGCGAGCGGCCGGGTCCTGCAGCCGGTCCCACACCTGAAAGAAATACCTCGCGAATGCCTCCTTGGTGAGGGGTTTACCGTCGCATCTCACCCGCTCCGTGACTTCCAGCAGGTGTGGCGAGGTGTACAAGCCTGTCTCCAAGCGTGCGTTGTTTCAAGCGTAAGCGACAACGCCGATAGGAACCGCGTTGGGTGGATATAAACGTGGGGGAGGATCTGGAAGTGGAATAAAAAAGGGGGCATTGTAGGGGTTGCAGGCTTGTTCTCGCGCTCCTATGCTCGTTGACTTCTTTGGCAAGGTGGTCGAAGTACGACAGGCACACGTGCAACAGCCCTTGATCCAAGCAACAGAACAAGGCGGAGCCGGGATATTGCTAGCCGTACCTGTCCTGAAGCCATGGTGACGCAGGACGGACTCGACCATCGCGCAGGTGCTTCCCTTGCCCTTGGTGCCCGTGACATGGATCACCGACAGACGGGACAGGTCCAGCTGTGTTCCACCCACATTCAAGGAAGGATTACAGAGTAGACAAGGTGCTGAGCTATGTACGCCCATGGACATGCGTTTGTATTGTAGCTGCTGCTGTGCGTTGTTGGAAAATCGTGCCATCCTTCCACAATAAATGGGGTCTGCAACTGCTTGGGGACCGCGCGGGGTCAAATCAAAGAGAGCAATAGTCCCTGTGCTACATAAGTTATCCTGTTCAACCCCATCTGTTACGTAGCGTGCAAGGTGCGCCAGCTACTACTGCTGTAGATGGGACCAAACAAGAACAAACGATGTTCTAACGGACACTGCAGGTCACGAGATGTACGCACAACCTTTTGGTTCGGGTGACTGTGTCGCACACGGCGTGCAGTGATACAATTTACCATTGGCATATTGCTCGTGATCGCTAGTTCGGGTCGCTCAGTTCTGGGTGTTGAGAGCGTAGAGCAGCTCGGCCATGGCAGGCAGTAGATGGTACAAACTTGTTGTATTCATCGGGGGCGTGCTTGAGCTCGTCTATCGGTCACGGCATCCAGTCACGCATCACGCTTAAAACACCAAAGGAATCTCCACGAATCTCCATTATTCCATCACATTCCCAAAAATACAAAGAAACTTCCCGTTCCTTCGAACTTTATCACTGCGATCTCCGTAGATGTATACCCAACATATCACCAATCATACTAAGCTACGGGAATATCGAATAATCCACCTGCTCGTATGCATCGTCATGCTCCGGCAAAAATTAATATCACAAACCTCTTTACCAACTCCTCCAACACACTCTAGAAAAATTGCAACAATTGCAAACTCAACAATCAATATGATACCACCTTCACACACTCTCTCTCTTATACAATCTCGTTTCTCTCTCTTCCCCTTTCCATCACTCTCTTTCCTCGACAGAATACGAATCGACCCCAAAACACTTCCTGCACTGTACGTGCATCATAAAGTCACGGTGCACCGCGGGGGGGGGTCCGCAGAATCGCAAACATCAAGCGCATCGGGATGAAAATCACCCTGTGGGACCGAGTCTGTACCATCCATCAGACCAACATCAAGAAACATTCTCATGTCCATGATGGGCAAATTGTCCTGGGGGACGAGGGAGTTGATTTCAACTTCACGAAACTCGCGCGGGTCTACGACAGGGGGACATACAATCTCAGATGAGGCTACGGCAGCCGGGATTGCAGGCTGGGAATCAGAAATACTCCTTGGCACAACATCAATGTCGATGGGCGGGAATGCAGAACGCGGAAGTACTACACCGGATGTGGTGGATGGGAAGCTCGAAGTCGCAGGTACAACACCGGCAGCACCGGCGGACTGGAAGCTCGCACTCGGACTCGCACTCGAAGGTGTTTAAGCTTGCAGTCCGCCGGTGGTGCCGCTGCAGGTGTTGTACCTTCGAGTGCGAGTCCGAGTGCGAGCTTCCAGTCCGCCGGTGCTGCCGGTGTTGTACCTGCGACTTCGAGCTTCCCATCCACCACATCCGGTGTAGTACTTCCGCGTTCTGCATTCCCGCCCATCGACATTGATGTTGTGCCAAGGAGTATTTCTGATTCCCAGCCTGCAATCCCGGCTGCCGTAGCCTCATCTGAGATTGTATGTCCCCCTGTCGTAGACCCGCGCGAGTTTCGTGAAGTTGAAATCAACTCCCTTGTCCTCCATGACAATTTGCCCATCATGGACATGAGAATGTTTCTTGATGATGGTCTGATGGATGGTAAAGACTCGGTCCCACAGGGTGATTTTCATCCCGATGCGCTTGATGTTTGCGATTCTGTGGAACCCCCCCCCCCCCCCCCCCCCCCCCCCCCCCCCCCCCCCCCCCCCCCCCCCCCCCCCCCCCCCCCCCCCNCACCCTGACTTTGTGATGAACTTGCATCATTTCCACCAGGAGCGTCTCTGGCGAGGGGTCCGTGTGTGACTTTGTTTTCAAGGACGCAAAAGTGCGATGCGTTACGCTTTCCACCACGGAATTGCCACGCCTTGATGTAGAGGGATATCCGGAGATCCCTACTGCTCGAACTACAGTGATCCATTTGGGTGCCAATGGGCCGAGAGCATGTGTTGTATTCGATAAAGACTCATCCATAAGACTACTTAGCCCTCTATCAAACAGCTCACTCACCTGGATTCTGTCGAGATATGCTGCGACGCTCGTCACAGTTGACTCTCTTCGTCTGGATTGAGAGGGATGGGGCGTGGAAAAAGAGAGAGGAACGCACAACAACAGCAGCATCACCAAGTAGACGTTCGTCAAGCTCAACAACACGTAGCACGGGTAAATACTGCATGCATAGGTAGATACACACGCGTGTGTTTGGCGCTCTTGCGCTCTTTGATTGGATCAGCGACAGCAGGCCCGGAACTACAATAATTGTCCGTCCGCAAACCAACAGCGGCCAACAAGGTGTACACCTACCACAAATTGTCCGCCCGCAAACCAGTCCAGGAATGAAGAATAGCTAGCGGGATCGACGTTCCATTTCGTTTGGTTCCTGAAACTCTATGCCCGGCCTCGACCCCAGAATCAACATGTTCTGCGCAACATGCGAATGACCGAAAAGTTAGTTGTCACGCACTTCGACGCTTTTTCCAGCGCTGCACCCGCCGCTGAGATGGTGCCATAGAGCGTCGATTTGGCATCCTCAAAGGTTCGTGAGCCAGCAGCATCGCCACCCGCACCATGAACCCCCACCATCTTCCTTTCTCGCTCTCTCTCTGGGGCGTGGAGCACACCACACGACGCGGTGCGCGCTATTGAACGCGTGCGTAGGGCGTCCCCGGAGTGCCTACACCCCTGGGATATTTCCCGGTAAACTGAAAAAGGCGAAAAAAATGGAAAGAGGCATGCACGCCTCACAACCCCTCGCCTGCAACCTCGCCTGTTGTCCAGTTGTGTTCGAGTGGCAAGGCACGAGGCACACGCTTGGTTAGTGCCCCCCTTGCCTGTCCTGATCACATCACCACCAGGAACAATGCGACCTAGCTCGCTCTTGTATCTCCTTCCTCTCGCGAGCAGGGGCGGGCTCGCGTTTGTCTTGCCGGCAGCAGGCCCGCTTCATGTTGCTGGCAGCAGCACGTTGTTCCAGAAGGTGAATGCGCCATGCTCTTGGCGCCCTCCGATACCTGCTGATCCTGCTGATGCTACGCGTGCTATCGCACGACCGAGCGCGGCCCACAGGCAACATTCTAATACTCTCAGGTGATTCCGCATGGTCTCACGAGAGCAAATTGCGTGTACTCCTGTTGTCTAACGGGTGTGTTTTGTGGCGTGTAAGATGCACCCTCTGCTTAACAGTAGAGTCAACTCGGCTCTGCATAGTCAACGTGGGTTCACGGGACTGTCATAGTTGCTGTTTCGCATCTCGATCCGGTTGTGTCCATGTCTCTGTCCCTATCTTCGTTTATGTGTCTGTCTGTCGCCTCGTCTGTCTGCCTACCTGCCTGCCTGCCTGTTAGTCTACATACTTTTCGTCATTGTCGCACGCACGTGTTCCACTAGTCTAGATGATTTGGCGTGGACACAAGCGGGGTTCCTTCGTCAGTTGACGTCACGCGCGATTTGTTCTTGTCGCCTCTTCTTTGTTACCCAAGTGTCTCGTCCGCATCTTCTGTCGCGTTGTCGTGTGTCTATGCTGCGCCTTGTGGCTGACTTCCCCTGATGGTTCAGGATGATGGCCAAGAATACCCCGCCAACCGGTAAAACGAACTATCGCCGTCCCTCGGCTGCCATCGAGCGGGGAGGGGGGTTTTTCGTGCCTGGCTTGGAGGGATTCAAGTGAGCGTACGCATACGAGTAAGACTAACTATTTAGCACGCTATTAGACGAGGAGGGATTAGTCTGGATGATATGGAAGTTTGGGAACCCACTGCTATTTTCAGAATGAGCTGTTCTTTACCGCAGAGGTGGGCGTACGTGTGAGCGGAGAAGGCGCATTAAATGGCTGCGTCTACTCTTGTGTTTCTCTCGATCTATATGCGACCTTCTCTTTCCTAGGGCGCGCTTCGTTTTGGGCGTGGTGATACTGGGTCTCCTGAGCTTAGAAGGCTTTGCGCGGCCCGGGATGACCATCTTCCAGCTCATCAGCAAACTACTAGCGGGGCTTGCGGGAGTTTTGCTGTTCGCCCAAGCCCTCTTGGACCAGCAAAAGGAACGAGCTTTCGAGGTAACGGCCACAATTCTATTCTGAGCAGACGGGTGCATGACCTTCAAAGTTTGTGCCACATCCCCCATGGCACGGGTACAGCACAGCGAACAAGCAAAGATGCGTTATTTGGCTACTGGTTGACCTGTGGGGCAGTGACGGCTTCGGACGGTTCATATTTGTCAGATGATCCTTTGACTTCCTCTCCCCTTCCTCGCCCCTTAACGCCCGCGCCGTTGTAACACAAGGCGCGTCCATCGTCCACTCGTGCGCTGTACTTGCGATGCCGTTGGTCTGACGGCGGGATCCTTCTTCTTTCGTTATCCTTGACTTGCTATCAATTCGGAGGGTCGGACATGTGTAGCAGACATGCCAGAGGCCCATTATTTCGATCGATTTCGGTCGTTTTCATCGTGTGTGCACTGGGCGTATTGTTTTCGCCTGGGCCCCGCGTGTGACAGATGAGGAGGGAAGCGATCGCGGCAGCGCCCGCCTCGGCACAGGGACCGGCGATGGGCACGGCGGCCGGAGAAGGACAGGTGGAAAATCGGGGGCTCCTCTTGGACAATGAGAATTTTTTTTTTTATCTTGATGCACTCATCAGTGCCTAAAACCTGGGCGTGGGAAAGCAATAGCCAACACTCAGGAGTGACATATTTGTGATGGTTTGGGGCAAAGAGTAACCTCGCGTGGAATGAACCCTACCGCTTGTGGACGTTCATAGAGGCGTTGTCACTCTTCGCTGTTGTTGGAACACCTTGGGGCATCTTCCTAGTGTCTTGTTCACCCACGACCCTTCTTCGGTGGACGGTCTTGTAGGAACCACACTTTTACTCGTGGGGTTGGGACCACCCCCCGTTCCCCCGCCCCCGTGTCTCCGAATGCCTCCATCCCTTACCCCTGCGCTCCTCCTCGCCTCCACCTTCCACCTACTACACGTTTTCGAAGGTGGCGTTCTTCGATAGCGCGGCGCTGGGGAGCGACCTCGAGGCGAAGGTCATGTGGGCGGCGGACATCGCGCTGCAGCTCACCGCAGCCTGCTCCTTCGTGATGTTCTCGGACGGGGAGGTGCTGGCGAGGTGAGGAGCGTGTAGAAGCGATTGATTGGGGGCGGGGCTGCTGTCGAGCGCGGAGACACAGAAGCATCATTACACACGTAAACCCCACCGATGACTATGCTCAACAGATCGCGTTCATCCCCCCGAACGTGTAGGGTGGGAGCCACGGGAGGGGAATCAGACGCCAGCGACACGGTTGCGGCAGCCTTCAAGCAAGCCACGGCAGCGGCGGCAGCAGCAGCAGCAGCAGCAAAGACCGAGGAACAGGAAACAGGCTCCCCCTCTGCCGCCGTCGTCAAAAGAAGCGCCAACGGCGGTGACAACGATGCCTTGATGCAGCTGCTGCCCTCCGCCTGCCGGCAGGGTGTCCTGTGCACGGTTTCCTTCCCTTCCAGTCGCCACGGTGAAGGAGGAGGGGATTTGGTGGTGCTTCTGGGGTCGACGCTGGCGGGCGCGACCGTGTTGTCGGGGATGGACGCGGCGTGGTTTGAGCGGGTTTGCGCCTTTCTTGCTCTCGGTCCGGCGGCCGTGGGTGCTGGGGAGCGGTAGCGGGTCGCGAAGTTTATGTGTATTCAGAGCGGGGAAACACACAGACAGATAGGGAGAGAGAGAGAGAGAGAGAGAGAGAGAGAGAGAGAGAGAGAGAGAGA